CCTAATTGTCTAATCATAGCGAAAAGGTCTTTTTATACCCTTGCAGAGGGTATTATAATTTTGGTCAAAAGTGTGCAACGCAGTGAAGGAGACATCTCCGACCCTATAAAGTATATATATTCTTGATCAGGATCACCTCCTGAGTTGATATAGCCATGTCCGTCTGTCTGTTTCTACGCAAACTAGTCTCTCAGTTTTAAAGCTATCGAATTGAAACTTTGCACACACCCTTCTTTCCTTTGCACGCAGTATATAAGTCGGAACGGCCGCGATCGGCCAACTATATCCTGTAGCTGCCATATAACTTTGGTGTTTGTTAAGTTAGGAAGTTGGGATTTTCTATGGGTTTTATTTTTAGCCAATCAATTCGACCTATCAAATTTCATAAGGATCGGCCGACTATATCCTGTAGCTGCCATATAACTGAACGATTGGAAATGCCATAACTTTGGTGTTTGTTAAGTTAGGAAGTTGTGATTTTCTATGGGTTTTATTTTTGACCAATCAATCCGACCTACCAAACTTCATAAGGATCGGCCGACTATATCCTATAGCTGCCATATAACTGAACGATTGGAAATGACATAACTTTGTTGTTTTTAAAGTTAGGAAGTTGGGATTTTTTATGAGTATTAAGAATGCATCATATGAATAATTTTGGAGAATATAATTTACAGAATATTCTGCAAGGGTATATCAACTTCGGCTCCGCCCGAAGTTAGCTTTCCTTTCTTGTTTTCTATCAGACCAGTACCAAGCCGAATTCGGTATGCAACGAAGGAATGCTAGGTTACCTTCGATACAATTATTGATGTAATCTTCGGATAGTATATCTTCTTTGGTGACTTTGCTGTTATGCCCAACATGATTGAAAGCAATACTAATGGAACTGCTCACTCGTTGCCTCATAATCTTTGCTGCCACATACAAAAGATGTTGCGGATCAGTAGCGCGACGATCTATACGCCGGAGTTCACTAGTTGCTCCAAATTGTCCACCGTAGATTGTGGGGAATGAAAGTTCTTCAGCATATTCATCGAACAAAACACTACGTGGAACACTCCATATGTCATATGCAACATTTTATCTTCATTCCTGCCTGATATGCCTAAGTCTTCTGATTTGCATCAACGGAATTCTTGGTGAAATGAGTCGCTGCTCGATCATATATAATTTTAGCAAATAAGAGGGAATGATCGGGTATGAAAACCCATTGTACGACGGTAGTAAAGGAATTTTTAGAGCGTCGAGTGACTTCTTACACGTAGAACATATGTCTGCAGTGGTGCCACATACGTAACTCCACCATAGTCTATCGCAAACAGCACAAGAATGACCAAAATCATTTTTCCTGAAGGCATTGTAAAATTCGAGGTGATTTTTGACATGTTCGTGATAATTACTGTAGATTGGGATTGATGTCTACATGAGGACTAGCATTATCATGCTCATCGTTACTTTCATCTTCAATGTTGTTGTGTGGATTGATTTTAACAGGAATATTTTCAATAGGTTGACCATCTCTTATGTCATCAACTTCAATTAATGGTGTGAAATGTACTTTCCGAAGATGTAGGTGGATGAAACTGTGCGAATCCTGAACTCTTCTTTCTTCGTCAGAGCGTTGACATAGTTATTATGAGCACAAATATTAGTATTATAAAATTCTTGCAAAAATATCGATACAATCCACATCTCCAAATTCTGTATTACTGTTTAGGATGGACTTTGCACCATTCGTATTAATGCATGAGTCCACAAATGGAGAAACGAGCAGCTGCCTCCGAAGTTGCGTGGATGTCATGTCAAGATTGACGGCTCGTATTAAAGAAGAAAATAGGCAGTTTCCATCTGAAGGAATATCTATTACTTGATATAAAATGGCTACAGTCTGTGCACAGTCGATAACCTGTTGATGGGGGACTTCGAATGCATCATTTTCTGTTGGTCCTTGAACAAGTGCATTCTGAACCACCCGACTTCGACGATATTTTTCACAAGATGCAGGATTCGTCATGCCTGTCCCTCGACACACTCTCTTTTTTAATTGCCGATTCTGGTCAACTGGTATTGCACCATCAGTTGTAATTGATTTTTCTGGCTCATTATGTTGTGTAATTTCTAGCTTACTTCTCTATGTGGAAAAGTTTTCTCCATTTACAATAATTCTGGATCCAAACTGATTCGCAAAGTTGAGGTTTTAGGTAATTGCAACACCTGCGCTTCGATGTCTTGCCTTTTTCAGCGTTCCCTAAACTCCTTTTGACGCTGTGTCCTTTTTGCATTGCTTTCTGATTATTACAATTCGATGGCTCTGCTCCAATTTTTTTTACTGTCCTTCTGTCGCTGTCGAAAATTTTGCTGGCGCTGCGCAGAATGTTTTTGTTTTTTCCGTTCCCGATACTCTTTTTGGTACTGTGCAGCGGTTTTCCGTGTTGTTTTTTTTTTTAATATTTTATTCGACCCCCAATTCACTGATACATCTGGTTGAGGTATTCCATCAACGCTGTAAATGTAATAAAAAAATTTAACACTTGTTGCATTCGGTATCACGTCTAAATATCATTGTAAAAAATATCACACGTTTTTCAAAAATATCAGAAAACTAAAATATCACACGTCAAATTATCTCTTATTTAAAGAAATGCGACAGATGATTTTGAAATTGTAATTTATATCTTCAGTTTTCATTGTCAATCTCAATTTTTTCCATATTCAATTTTCAGTTTCAATTTTCAATTTCAATTTTCAAATTCAATTTTCAACTCCTTTTTTCAATTTTCATTTTCAATTTTCAATTTCAATTTTCAGTGGGCCCTGCCCATTCCATTAACGATTAAGATACCGGAAGACATCCTGTACATGCTGCAGCGGGGCAATCCTCATCTTACCACACAAAACTGGATAATGTAGTAGAACACTAGGATCCCAATCGGGCAAACGATAGTCGTGATGAACATGGAGATAAATGAAGACAAGGGTTTGGAGTCACCCTGGGTAATGCTATCTGCAGCCCAGAGTCAGAGGAACCTGGTGGAGGGCCGAAGGACAAATGTTCGACCAACTCGTCGCTAAGTAACAGTAGGGCTGCTGAAAAACAAGAGTCTTGGTTGCTTCAACCCAAAGAGGGCACAATTCGTAAGTTCACTTGAATTGACAAGCAAGTGATTTTTTTAAGCAGGGTGTTAGAGTTAGAGTTAACTACTCACAAATTATAAGCAAGTAAGTGATGCTCGTTTATTTGAACGAAAAAAATAAGTATAGAGTTAAAATAAATCAATAGAGTTTTCAAGCCAAGCCCCCAGACAAACTAGTCAGAGAACTGAAAAGAGAAGAGCTTAACTTTACAATCATAAACATTCCACAACAAAAGCCAGCACCAACAAACGGAGAAACCAACCCGATTTTCATTTATGAAAAAACTTTAAACCAAAATTCATTCTTTCCGGGGAGATGTCATTGTCCTATTCTATTGTGGCAACATTTGAAAAAGGAAAACCAGCCCGAAAAGTGTGATCCACTTGCGTATTGAGAGGTAATAAAACATATACATGTTTTCCGAAAATTTAGTCGGAACAAGTATTTTGCAAAGCTGGCCAAATCGTTTCCGTCCGTCCCACTAGATTTTGTTCATCCATTGTCGACAAACTGTTGTTTCAAAACCAGAACAAATATTTGAGTAACAAGAGAGAACGCTATAGTCGAGTGCCTCGACTATTAGATACCCGTTACTCAGCTAAACAAATTAATATAAATATGCCTTCTTGTAATAAATTGACTAGAAATATTAAACATACATACTTATATTGGCTAAACCCATACATTCTTAAATAGTATTATGTATTTTAAAGTCTAAATGTTTGTACAACACGAGTAACGGGTATAGCGAATAGCTTTCTTTGAAAGGAGTTATCTTTGCATACATACACACATACGCCATTGTTTGACTCAGACCTCCAATTTGGCTAACTAGATTTGATTTGCATAATTCTGGGGATATAGTTCGGTATTGAAAAATAAAAACCATCGCAAATTCCTTTAATAGAAATCCTTATCGAGAATTAACGTTGACTCTGTTGAGCACCTTGGCCAGCTGTTCCAAAGTCATCCGTTAGATGGCGCCATGAAAGGCGGAAATGTAGGCGCTAGCCAGGCTTAAGCGTTTAATGGGTTTTTGGGCGTTAGAGTGGGCGTGGCAAACTTTTATTAGGCCAATCGATATTTATTGACGAAACAAATACATATCAATTAAAATTTTCAGAATATCATCAAAACTGTGGCCACAACTTGTGGCTTGTGGGCGTCAGAGGGGGCGTGGCACCATTTTGAAACAAACTTGCGCTGCGTAGGAACTCCTAAAATCTACATGCAAAATGCCAATCTTCTAGCTTTTATAGTTTCCGAGATCTCAGCGTTCATACGGACAGACGGACATGGCTAGATCGACTCGGCTAGTGATCCTGAACAAGAATATATATACTTTATAGGGTCGGAAACGTTACCTTCTACCTGTTACATACTTTTGCACGAATACAATATACCCTTTTACTCTACGAGTAACGGGTATAAAAATAAACTGTTATTTAGAAAACAAAATATATTTTAAATTCCAAAAACATTGAAAAATCGATGGCGGTGAACATCGATGTTTCTCCGCCTCTAATTTCTAGCTTGACAGAAACTAATTGCCGAAATTCTGCTGAACGGGAAAACCAGCGCGCCAAAAAAAAATGACACTCATGCCGAAAACTTAAGAAGTCTTTTACTGTCTGTGAGTTGGCCTCTGCCGCAGCACTTCTGCTCGTCAGCCGGCAAAACACTTATCTATACTAATTAGGATAGGATAAAAAAGAACCGACTGCTGATTTAATGAAATCTGTATAGGCGCTTAACAATGCTCTATCAATCGTGTTTTTTTTAAATAATTTTATGATTATCTGTAATTTAAACTTACCGGACAATTCAGCTGGTTAAAACTAAAACGCCCTAATCTTAATCAATTTTAATTAAATACGATACAGCTATAATGGTTGTATTCTTTAGGTTGAAAAACCATATCGTATGCACGAGTGTACTTTTATTAAGTTTTAATATTTTATGCAAAGTAAGCCATGGATTAAAGTCTAATGAAAATTAATAATTTTGTAATGCCACTTTTATAACAAAAAATATTTAAAAAGCTAAGCAATCAAAGCGACGCTATACTTATATAATTATTTTTAAAAACTGTATGATAAATAATTGTTACACATAAATAAAGTAATCATTTTTATAAGCGACGTAAAAACAATACTTTTCTCTATCATATATACTAAAGTTCTCGTTAAGAGAATCTATAAAATCCTTATACTATGTTATGTGTTCCTGTGTTTTTGTATCTCACAAGTGTCATTTATGTATTTATAAATATATATATATATATAACTATATATATATATTTTATTTTAAATATGTATTATATTATTTATATGTACATCTTACACTACTAAGTTGAAATAGAACGGTTAGATTATAGTGTCCAGTTGCCGGGCTTGATGTAAAATCTTTTTCTGATGTCCCACCAAAGTAATTCCCATATCCGACAATTGTTGAGCTGTTAGCCTAGAAATCTATATGCGAAAATTTCAATTAGTAACTTTAATATAGAGCATAGAACTTTATTAACCTACCTGTTGAGCATTAATTAAATTAGCCTCTTTGAAATGCTGACAGTATCTTGACATTTTTATGTGCTCCAACCAAAGGTCGGTACTTATGAATATATTTTGACCACGCTGTGTATCCAAAATATGTGTACCTTCTGATTCGGGTGAGTTTCGAGTTGTCAGCAATGACTGCGGTTGTCTGGCCAAGTTGTCTAGAGTTGAAACGATGCTGGCAAATGTAGGGCGATGAGTACGCTGCTTTTGCCAGCAATCTAACATTAGCTGGTAGAGGGCCTCTGGACAGTCCATCGGAGCTGGTAAGCGGTAGCCCTTTTCAATACTCTTTATCACATCCTTTATGAAATTTATTATAAAAGTAAATATAAATTATAAGTAAAATTTTTTTTTAATTAGTTCATACCTGATTTGACCAGTTCCAATATGGACGCTCCCCGTAAGACATGACCTCCCATAAAACTACTCCATAGGACCAAACATCAGATGCCGAAGTAAATTTTCTAAATGCAATGGCTTCTGGCGCAGTCCAACGTACAGGGATTTTACCACCCTTTTAAAATAAAAAGTTAATTTAGTACAAAATAGTAATTTAATAATTTATTTACAAGTTTTTTTAAAATCCAAATCATTTTTAAGTTTGAAAAGAAAATAAGATTTTGCTCTGATTTAAATTTCATGTCCTGGAATTAAGAGTTGAGACGACTAACTGAACTTTTTTAAAATTTTCGGGACTTAAATACTGTTTAATTTTCTGTTTCGTTGTTGGTTACTATTTAAAATTATTTGTAAAAGCTATAACAAACTAAAATTTTTTAAAAAGATTAAAATATTCTTAGCATAAAACTATAAAAATTGGATGACTATATCATAAACCTTCCATAAGAACGATCGAAAAATGTATCGGAAAAACGTAACCTTAAAGAGACAATGTATAAGATAACTTGCCCAGATCTTATCACAGCTAAAGCATAGAGCTATTCGGGAGATTTAACCTTTGATATGCGAAGGCAAAGTTGCGAACGACACCTGTCTGTTTACAGATGTAGATTTTTATCTATGACAGTTGGTGTTTACCTTGGGAAATTCAATGTGACATTCATTAAAACATTCCTTTAGGTTTGAAGCGACGTAAAATGTATTTCGTTTAATGTATTTCGATCCTTTTTGAAATTTTTTTGCTCTAACTGTACCCAAATCTGGGTTAATTAATATAACTTTTATTCTACCCACAAGTAAATTCAGTCAGACGAATTTAAAAAAAACCTTTGAATAAAAATATATAACTTAAAAAATTATTTCATTTTTAAACAGTGAAATAAATAAAAATATTTAATTATCCGTCATCCGTTCCATTATACATACCCGTGTTGTGTATGCATCACTGGCGTTCTCAATTTCACGTGACAACCCAAAGTCTGCGATTTTACAAATTAATTGGGCATTAACAAGAACATTACGTGCCGCTAAGTCTCTGTGTACATAATTCATATCACTAAGGTAAGCCATCCCGCTTGCAATACCTCGAAGCATTACTATAAGCTGTAAGGTTTGAAACTTTCCATCATTCACACGGAGAAATGTGTCCAAGCTGCCGTTTTCCATGTACTCAGTAATAATCATAACTGGATTTGATCGTGTAACTACTCCCTGTAGATAAATAACATTTGGATGATCGAATTGTCCCATAATCGAAGCCTCCGTCAAGAAGTCACAGCGGGCTTTTTCCGAAGATCCTAAAAAGAGAAATTTTGATGACTTACATATAATCTTTTCAAGATGGCCCTAGAACCCGACGAATAGTTTATTTTCCATTTTATACATTTAACAAGAAAGGAAAGCTAACTTCGGGCGGAGTCAAAGTTGATATACCCTTGCAGAATATTCTGTAAGTTATGGCATTTTCATTCGTTCAGTTATATGGCAGCTATAGGATATAGTCGGCCTTATGAAATTTGGTAAGTCGGATTGATTGGCCAAAAATAAAACCCATAGAAAATCCCAACTTCCTAACTTTAAAAGCACCAAAGTTATGGCATATCTGATCAATCAGTTATATGGCGGCTATAGGATATAGTCGGCCGATCCTTTTGAAATTTCGGAGGTCGGATTGATTGACCAAATATAAAACCCATAAAAGCACCAAAGTTATGGCATTTCCGATCGATCATTTATATGGCAGCTATAGGATATAGTTGGCCGATCCCGGCCGTTCCGACTTATATACTGCGTGCAAGGGAACGAATGGTGTGTGCAAAGTTTCAATTCGATATCTTCAAAACTGAGAGACTAGTTCGCGTAGAAACAGACAGACGGACATGCTTATATCAACTCAGGATGCGATCCTGGTCAAGAATATATATACTTTATAGGGTCGGAGATGTCTCCTTCACTGCGTTGCACACTTTTGACCAAAATTATAATATCCTCTGCAAGGGTATAATAAAAATGATTGCTTAATAGAGGTGACTTCAAAATTACCTGGCTTCAGTGTCTTTATTGCTACATCAATGTCCTGCACAAAATTTGGAGGTATTTTTAAGCGGCCACGGCATACGTCGCCAAATTCTCCACCACCTAAATATTTTTTTGTAGAATTTATTTGTTTAATGTATTTGTAAAATTGGTCAAGAAAAATATATGAAACTTACCGATAATAGCTTCTATAGTAATATAGTTTGCATCGATTTCCCGAGCAAATTCCCTTATAGCTTGATTAGGGTCTTCATATGTGTGGGGATCCACGTAGCTTCTACTATTGCCAAACAGAGGCGTCGTCACTAAAACCGATAATGGAAAATAAGAAGCTTGATAAAATTACCAGTAATCCGAGATAATTTATAATAATATAAAGTAAATATTGAGTTTATTTAAAACTTTAACACTTTAATTCAGAACTAGGCAAAAATGATGTAGATGTTAATATATCCGTGCAACCGTTTTTACGCAAAAACAAGAAAGGAAGCATACTTCGGCAAGCCGAAGTTTATATACGCTTGCAGTTATTACAAAACGACTACATTTTGATTTCTATGCCTAATGAACAATGAAGCTATATCGATTTTGAGCTGCATTTTGCCATCGTTTCTATGGCAGCTATATGATATTGCTGCCCGATTTCGATAAAACTAAAACGTAATTCTGATATGGTAAACAATTACTTTATCTCAGAGGAATATTTCGATAAGTAGAAAAACAGCAAAATACAATATTGATTTCATTTTTATTATTTTTATTTTTTTGTTTTTCCTATGGGAGCTATATGATATAGATGTCCGATTTTTATTAAATTAAAACCGTAATTCCATAATATTTAAATATTAGCAAATCGCAAAGAAGAACAAAAAATTAAAAACAAATAAGTTATTCTTCTTAAAATTTGTTTTCCGATTGTTTCTATGGGGGCTTTATGATATAGTCGTCTGATCCGGCTTGTTCCGAGTTATATACTACCTGCAATATAAATACAACTTTTGGGAAAGTTTTAAGCAAATAGCTTAAAAACTGATGAACTAGTTTGCGTAGAAACGGACAGACGGACGGAGAGACGGACATACAGTGGATCGCAGCTTATTTCGTGCAGTTACCTAAAAAAAGTTCAAGTCGTTATTCCAGCTAAACTAAGAAAGATAACAGAAAAATTTAAATGCAGTATTTTAAAAGGGAATATTAACTTGTTTATTAAATTAAAACGATTTCCTTAATCGTAAAAACAAAATACTTATTAAATAAAAACAAAATGTGCAGGCTTTTTTCATGCCGCAGCTTATTTCGTGCAGTTCATTCTTCTTTACTTATTATTTGTAATTTAAAAGCTAATATTTGGTATGTCCTCCTTTCTGGTTCAGGACAGCTTTGAGACGATTTCCCAAGGAAGAAACTAACTTTTTAGTGGTTTCCACTGGAATTTTTGGCCATTCTTCCATAAGAGCACTTTACATGTCGTTTTTGTTCGAAATCTTCCCCTTCCTTATAGCGATGTGTAAATTGTGTAAATTTTTGATCACATTTAAGTCTGGAGACTGTGCTGACGTTATGACGGCATGAGGGCAGTTCCAGACAAGATAAACCTCCACAATTCCTGCTGAATGCTTCGGATCGTTGTCCTGGTAAAATCGAAATCGATCGCGTATGCCCAGTTTTTCAGCAGTTTGGAGCAGGTTTTCCTTATGAATCTGTAGGTACATTTTGGCCATCCATGATAACTTCAAAAAAAATCGAGGTTGCCCCGCCAGAAGCTGCCATACAGGCCCAAACCATAACATGACCCCCGCCATGCTTGACCGTAGCTTATAGGTGTTTGCTTTCCAGCTCTGTATTAGGAACAAGGGAGCATATTCTTCTTCCGATTTCGTTTTGGAATGACGTGTTATTTGCAGACGAGTCAAAATGTAACCTTTTTGGTTTAATATGTTTGGCGGCGACCTAACACAGAGCTCGAAAACAAACTCTTAAAAGCTACAGGCAAGCATGGCGGGGGTTATGGTTTGGGCCTGTATGGCAGCTTCTGGCGGGGCAACCTCGATTTTTTTGAAGTTATCATGGATGGCCAAAATGGCCAAAATTGTTCAAACCATGACATGACCCCCGCCATGCTTGACCGTAGCTTATAGGTGTTTGCTTTCCAGCTCTGTATTAGGAACAAGGGAGCATATTCTTCTTCCGATTTCGTTTTGGAATGACGTGTTATTTGCAGACGAGTCAAAATGTAACCTTTTTGGTTTAATATGTTTGGCGGCGACCTAACACAGAGCTCGAAAACAAACTCTTAAAAGCTACAGGCAAGCATGGCGGGGGTTATGGTTTGGGCCTGTATGGCAGCTTCTGGCGGGGCAACCTCGATTTTTTTTGAAGTTATCATGGATGGCCAAAATGGCCAAAATTGTTCAAACCATGACATGACCCCCGCCATGCTTGACCGTAGCTTATAGGTGTTTGCTTTCCAGCTCTGTATTAGGAACAAGGGAGCATATTCTTCTTCCGATTTCGTTTTGGAATGACGTGTTATTTGCAGACGAGTCAAAATGTAACCTTTTTGGTTTAATATGTTTGGCGGCGACCTAATACAGAGCTCGAAAACAAACTCTTAAAAGCTACAGGCAAGCATGGCGGGGGTTATGGTTTGGGCCTGTATGGCAGCTTCTGGCGGGGCAACCTCGATTTTTTTTGAAGTTACCATGGATGGCCAAAATGTACCTACAGATTCATAAGGAAAACCTGCTCCAAACTGCTGAAAAACTGGGCATACGCGATCGATTTCGATTTTACCAGGACAACGATCCGAAGCATTCAGCAGGAATTGTGGAGGTTTATCTTGTCTGGAACTGCCCTCATGCCGTCATAACGTCAGCACAGTCTCCAGACTTAAATGTGATCAAAAATTTATGGGAAATATTGGACATCGCTATAAGAAAGGGGAAGATTTCGAACAAAAACGACATGTAAAGTGCTCTTATGGAAGAATGGCCAAAAATTCCAGTGGAAACCACTAAAAAGTTAGTTTCTTCCTTGGGAAATCGTCTCAAAGCTGTCCTGAACCAGAAAGGAGGACATACCAAATATTAGCTTTTAAATTACAAATAATAAGTTAAGAAGAATGAACTGCACGAAATAAGCTGCGGAATGAAAAAAGCCTGCACATTTTGTTTTTATTTAATAAGTATTTTGTTTTTACGATTAAGGAAATCGTTTTAATTTAATAAACAAGTTAATATTCCCTTTTAAAATACTGCATTTAAATTTTTCTGTTATCTTTCTTAGTTTAGCTGAAATAACGACTTGAACTTTTTTTAGGTAACTGCACGAAATAAGCTGCGATCCACTGTATATATAATTTATATAGGAAATGTCTTCTTCACTGCGTTGCAAACTTTTGACTGAAATTATAATACCTTCTGCAACGGTATAAAAAATCGGAATATAAAATGGTATTTAATATACTTTTTGAGTCTAAGTTTGTTATTCGCTGTTTGAAATAATAAGCAATATACATTTTAATTCTTTTTGTGTTTAGCTACAATAATGTGAGAGACCTGAACATAATAGAATAGAGCCTTATAGTTATAGCCATTTCAAACCCAGTTTTACTCCAAATCCTTCTGTCGCAATAATATCCAATTGCGAGCTAGGCCAAATAACCACCAATTGGTGTAAGACCAGTGTAACTAAATGGTTGTAACTAAATGGTTGTACCTAGTTACATATTTGAGAATTTTGAGAAAAATCTGGGCAAGGTGTTTAGGTACTGATATGTTCAAATGTAGGTTATCTAGGTACATATTTCAGAACCTTGAGAAAAATCTGAGCAAGGTATTTAGGTACTGAATTGTACATTTTTGTAAATTTTGTCAGGAACTAGATTTATAGCACAAACAATAAAAACGACTTTCATAATATGTTTCTTAAAAATTGTAATAATTAATTTAAAATTGTTAATTTGTACTCATATGCAAGAACTTTACAAAAAACAGCAGCTGAATGTTTGTACATCATACAAAGGTTGCGATTACTGGCGAAACAATGGAAAACGAAAACGGAATTTATTCTTATTTGCAAAACAGTTGTTTGATTATCATCAGATCAATACAAATTGTATTCGCGTTTGTATTTCATCACTATCATTAATTATGAAAAAAAAAGAATCAAATACAAATTTTCGCGTTTGTATTCCATTATTTCCCAGATATATTCTTGATCAGGATCGCGTCCTGAGTTGATATAAGCATGTCCGTCTGTCCAATGACCAATATAAACTCTAAGATGGGTAACGCCCATACATTGGTTTTGCAATATGCAGCTCGTTTTTTGGTGGCGACGAAAATTCCGCTCTCTCCGCTCGCACAAAGTTGAGAGCGTAAAAATCTAAAAATAGAATTGCACGAATAAGGAGGTGCGTATGTGCGTATTTGTTCGAGAAGACGATTTTCGTCCAGAAATCATTTCTGGACTAAGAAACTAATTGTGTGTCAAAAGAACTTCTATGATTGAACAGGATGATTATTTAAATTGCATTTATGTATATATGGCAATAAAGCTTGATGTAAAACTTTTTTATATACCTTAAAAATTAATATCTGCATATTTAATTCATAGTTTCGTTTTACATATTTAAATTAAAGCTAAAAACAAAACTTTTAAATAAAAACATATAAAACTGCTTTATTAAATTTAAAAATTTTTCAATAAAGTTTAATAGATTTGAATATAATATGATTGTTAAACAAAAACAAAGCGAACTATATTTAAATTGAATATATTCAAAGGATATTTAATTAAATATATTTCACTTTATTTTGTAATCCATGGCTAACTTTAAAATGGAAATATTAAATTTAATTTTTATTCAAATATATTAAACTTTGATTTAATGACTTCAAATATTTTAAGTAAATATGAATAACATCATATCTAATATTATCAATCTGCATTTAAATCTATTCTTATTTAGTCAAGCAGTTTTATTTGTTTTGTGTTAAAAAGTATGTTTTATAAAACGAAACATTTAATTTGATACGCAGATATTAATTTTTATTTATCCATCGTTTTTTTTTTGTATACCTAATAAATATTTAAAGATAATATTATTATTTTATAAAAAGTTAAACTATTTATAATAACACGAATTGAATGCTTAATTATAAAACTAAGCTACAGGATATCCTCTTTATATTTAATATTACGTACATACATATTTATAACTTTTTTCCAAGTTGTCGAAAGCGTTTTGTTATATTTTTTAGAATGTTTTTTCGGTGCCATTTTTTTTTAATTTTTCCTTTTGTGTTTCTCATTTTTCTAAATAATTAAAATAGTTAATTTACAAATATTTATATAAATTTAATTTATATTTTGATAATGATTTTATATAATGTTATTATAATACGTGTAATATAAAAATACAACATATTTTTTAATCCATATATTTAAAATACAATAAATATAAAAATATTCATCCTGTTCAATCGCAAAATTTCTGAGGCTCCTAAAAATCGTTCACACGTCGCACGCTGAATAATGACAATTATTCCAATGTCATGTATGAAATAAATTATGTTTTTTTTATACTTAGATATGTTTGGTCATTACTAAAAAATATTATACATTCGAATAACTAGTAAATAAAGTAAATATAAAGGCAATACAAAATAAGTATTTTTAATAATGTTATAATTTTAAAATAAAGAGTATATTTCGACAGCGCGCTGCATACATCGCTTGTGAATACATGTGCACACATACATTCGTCGGCTGTCGCAGTATGCGCGCAAAAGAGCGGCTGGCTTTAGAGCGCTCTCTTGCTGGCTTTTGGGCAGAGAGCGAAGAGCCAGTTGAAAAGCCAGCACAAAAAATTCGTGTGCAAAAAAATCGTATGGCGTTACGCATCTTAGAGTTTATATTGGTCTTTGGTCTGTCCGTCTGTTTCTACGCGAACTAGTCTCTCAGTTTTAAAGATATCGAATTGAAACTTTGCACACACCCTTTGTTCCTTTGCACGCAGTATATAAGTCAGAACGGCCGGGATCGGCCCACTATATCCTATAGCTGCCATATAACTGAACGATTGTATATGGCATAATTTTGGTGTTTTTAAAGTTAGGAAGTTGGGATTTTTTATGAGTATTAAGAATGCATCATATGAATAATTTTAAAGAATATAATTTACAGAATATTCTGCAAGAGTATATCAACTTCGGATCCGCCCAAAGTTAGCTTTCCTTTCTTGTATTTAGCTAAATTCGAGCAGCTTTTGAAAATTTTTAAATTTTGGTACATCTACCGTCTGTGAAAGATGGGAATATCCACGCAGCTACTCAAGACTTCTGTGAAGAGATTTCTTTTTGTGTCCTTAAAAACTGTATAAAGTTGTCAAATTTGGATTAAGTTCGGCACTTTTAAAACGGATATTTACATCGCAAGTATAGGGAAAATCTTAATGAATTTGTCTTAGATTCTTGTTTGGCAACATATGGCCTACCTCATAGGAGTGTTATGGCTCAATTGCTTTTCTATAGTCTTTATTAATAATACTTGGTTCACTTTAGCTCCACAGGATATGTTTAATGAAGCTTACAAATAAAAACCACTTATGGTTGAAAATAGTAAAAGTATATGAATTAAACCATTTTTTGTACAATTTTTTCATTTTAAAATAATAATAAAAGTTATAGAATACTTTATACAAGGTGCGATTGGTTTCAACGTTTTTAAATTGTCGTGAGGACGTAAATGACATGTGGGCCAATCAAAATTCGTGATCACCGAAAATTCCATCGAAACTGTGCGTGAATTCATCAATTATCAAAAAAAAAATTTTAATTCATGGAAATGGAATTGAACATCTTCAAAACATCGATTTATAGCATTTTGACTGAGCATTTGTGCTTACGAAAGGTGTGTGCACGGTTTGTTCCGCATAAATTGACTGACGTCCACAAATTGCTCAGAATCCAACATTCAAAGGACATCATTAAAGAGGTCAAAAGGGACAAAAACTTCCTTTTCAATATTGTGACTGTTTCCAATATGATCCCGAAACGAATCGCCAAAGCAACGGACGGGCTGAAACACAAAAAAATCGAGAATGGTGGTAAAAGTGAAGATAATCCTGATTTGTTTTTTCGACTCCAAGGGTATTGTCCACAGAAAATTTGTTCCACCCGGCCAAAACGTTAATGCGATATTCTACCTTGGAGTTTTGAATCGTTTGGTGCGCCGCATTCAAAGTGTTGGGGCCTAATATCGCGAAGATGAAAGATGGCGTTTGTTGGACGATAATGCGCCGTCGCATCGATCAACGCTTGTGACTGATTATTTGGCCAAAAATCACATTTTAACCATTAACCACTCCCCGTATTCACCCACTTTTTCCATTTCGGATAAATGTATTTGCCCAAAAATGGAAAGCGTTGTGCAGACGTAGAGACAGCTTGCACTGGTATACTTGAGGCCATACCGGCCAACGATCTAAAACACTTGGTCGACATACTTTTGGACCGTGCAAAAATTTTAAATAAAATAAATTGATTTTGACGAAAACCATTTGGTCTGTTTTTTTTAGAAGTCCTTTTTACTTTGGAACGCACCTTGTAGAAATGATAACTGTTTCTATCCCACATATGTTATATTGAATATGGTCAAAAATGTCGTTTTCACTTCGTTTTAAACTTTTGACTGAAATTAAAATACCCTTAAAGTATAAAACATAATATAACATAAAAACAAGGAAGAATACTATCTTCGGTAAGCCGAAGTTTATATACCATTGCAGCTATAACAAAAATGTAACATTCTGTAAAACGACTATATATTAATTTTTAATTTTTATGTATGTATCTTTGAAAATATAAGCTCAGTGCTAAAAAACAACGAATTTTTTTTCCTATTTGTTTTTGGATAATGAGTATGACATGTATATGATAGTCGACCGATTTCATGAAAAAATTATTATTTGTCGAAGTGAAATCAACTGCGTTATGATATTTTCCATTATTTTTACCGACTGTTTCAATAAGATTTAGTTGTCCGATCAAGCCAGTTCAGACTTATATACTACATTCAATCAAAATAATAATTTTGTGAACTTTGAGCATTCCACATATCTTAAGTTGATGTAGAAAAGGACGGGCAGAAGGTCATGGCTAGATCGACTCGTTTGGTGATGCTGATCAAGTATTTACTTCTATTATAGTTTAAGGTCTCCCACTGCGTTGCAAATTGTTCACTCCTGCAAGGGTATACAAATGAATACTAAGAAATATGCCATTAACCACTTAGTCAGACTTAAAAAATAACATAAAATAAAACAAATAAATTTACGAAAAGATATACCGTTTAAGTGAAGGGTTTTGACAATTGGAGTAGTATCCATAGAATTAACTAAAAATAAAAATAAGAATAATATTGTATTGTATTGAAAATAGAATTGATTATGTTTTTAAAGTGGAAAAGTACAAGTACGAAATCTATAGTCGGGTATCCGACTGTAGTACATATTAAATGAAGAAAAACCTTACATCAGCAAGCCGAAAAGTAAATAAGCAGTCGGTTAAAAGTAACAAATATAGTACATTTTTAATAATCTATATTTTTTTAAATGTTTCTCTTGGCACGATTTAATTTTTTTTCAGATAGACTCAAACATTTTTATAAAATATATTTATATATATATATATATTTATTTAAATATTTATTTATTTTTATATATTTATTATTTTAGGTTTCTCCTTAAATTTATGCAGTTTATTTTCAAAGCTAAAGTCAGATGATTATTTCTGTTTGTTGTGCCCAAATTGACGAAGACTGCAATTTTATTAACAAGACTTTTCATTTTTATTTATTTAGTAGTATTACTCTACGCGACTTTGTCTGCAACAATAATCTAAATTTAAGGAGAAACCTATTTTAGAGTAATGCAGAACAAAAAATAAGAAAATATACGAAATGTTATTTATCTGTATTATATTCGTGCAGTGCGCGCTGTCATAAATTTTTGTTATGGTATTAAGACTCAGCCGTGCCGTAGTTAACTTCCGTTCTCGTTTTATCATTAATATCGGATTAGTAAATTTGTATCGTAGGCAAGATGAATGTTTGCATGTTTCTTGGGTGTATTCTGTATATAGATAAAGACATTGGACAAGGACACTTCCCTGGTACGTCTACCTTCATGTCTCACTTTTTGGTTATACAGTTTTGGAATCTTACCACGAAGACTATTTACGAGCTGTCGATCTTTGGACCTAGGTTAACGTGGTAGCTAACTTTTTATATTTTAACCAATCAATTCTGTTTGATGTACGGAACTTATAATCAGCTGAGTGTATTTAAAAATATGAATAAGTACTTTAATATTCGGATTCTGTTTCGGTGAATTTTCTTTCCGATAGAGAAGTTAATTGCTTTTTTTGGTCTGATTTTTTTTGCAAGTCGGTAAGTCTTTCTGGTAGACAAAGACGAGCATTGGTTTGCTCAAAATCGGATCGCCTATGAGTATGTTTGAAAAAGTCCATAAATTAGTTTTCGGTAACAGAAAATGAGGTTGACAGTACATGGCAACTGGTGTCACTGCTTGTGTTTATGCTTATTGAAGGAGCTTAAGGAAGTTACATTGTGATTTAATTGTTTTTTTTTATTCATCAGAATTCCCGACCCACTGTGGGCCATGACTTCCTGATTCCTATAAAATATGTTGCCAGTAATGTAAAATGCATGTTTACTTGTTTAATGCGTTTTTGGAGATCATGCTAATGTCAATTTGCATGTGGAATATAAACCAAGAGAGATATATAGGAATTTTATCATGGATATTATTTGCCATATTGTTCTATATCGGATTTATGGCGCTTTTAGAGTGATGGGGCGCTTGTATATTCCAGAGGCTATATTGATGTAGACTACCCGAACAGGAGGATAAGTCTTATTAATTAGTCCCATTGCCCTTCTCAGTAGTCCCTCCCGCGTGTTTTATTCGTCTGGCTTTCATTTATATCGAGCCGGAATCTCTTTGAAGTATTCACCTGCGCATTAGATCCATAAGGCGTGTTTCCATCTAGACACCAACTCCCAGAGCTTGACAGCGCTTTGGATTTCCCAATAAGGCAATGTCCTGGGGTGAGCGTTGTTATATCTATTGGATCGTTGGACATGTGTGTGATAGGTCGAGAATCGAGGATTTCCTTTTTCTCCTATGAGCTGGTCAAATGTGAGCGATGTTGTTGCTGTGATCGTGACAAGTAAAAGCTTTACGTATGTCACCGCTTTCGTGGTATGACGAAGTTAACTTCAACTTGCAGTTTGGTGCAATGATTTAAATTACGGTCCCTTGCCTTAACATTCAAGACATAATAATCTAGTTCTTTGAGTTGGTAATTGGCACTAACGAAATCTATTGCATTCTCGAAATGAACAGTTTTACACCTACTCCGGCGTCTGAAGAATCTTCGCAAAGCTGTTTAAAAGTGTCTTGGGTTAAGTTGCTAACCGATTCCAGTTGTACTACCTTTGTGGAGAAGCTTCAAAGAAGTTAGCGTTATCGTCGAACTCCTTTACTTTTTTTTTACCAGAAAAGCAAAATGTATGTCATTATACGTTTATATGCGTGAGCGTACCACAGATCCAAAATACAACATTTTAGTGGTTTTGCTTATTTTTTCTCAAAATAGGAAGTACTCACACGCGGAGCTTACGGAAAACAAAAGTAATGATATGAGACCGATTCTATACAAATTTTGATATAGCCCACCGATAGGTTAGAAGAAAAATTTACACGACCATTGCTTTTTGGTCAATGTAGAAATAGTGGACCATATATTATTTAGTTATTGTCTCTTAATTTTTTGGCCAATTATACTTGACACCATTGTTTCTGGCTTGTGACTGCCTTAATTTGGCTATTCAATTTGCCACAAAAGTGTGGTGGGTGTGTCCAGCGGATTTCGAGCATAATAAAACTGAAACGTTGTGTAGTCGCCGTATGCTCGCTTCGAGACATAAACAAAGATATACAAAATTTCTGCATCGTTACCGTATGTAAATCATTACGGTAATTTCCTTATCTCTGTTTGGAGTTCGTTTGATAGCTCGTCATCCTGATCTAGTTTTGTTTCCCAGAGTTGTTGCAGGGATATTTTCGATTTTACCACAGCCGGTGCAAAAAAGCCATAGCCAGTCAATTATTTGGTTCAGACCAGACTACACGTTTGACAATCTTCGTTTTAAAATTTTTGACGAATTTAAAGTGATTTTTATAATTAATGACGACCAGCAACGGATCCCACGTAGATACATCAACAGTCCCCTTAATGAGGCGAGAGATTTTATAGTGGTGATGTATAACTCGTGAAGTGATTTTGCGCTGTTGCAGACTGTTTGTTAAACTCTGCTTGAAAATCAATCAAAGAATATTCTCCAATTTTACACTATTTCAGGGATGTTGATTCTTGGTAGCTGCACATCAGAGCTGCGGGTAAAGCGACATCTTTTTCTTGTGTCCACAATGATTTTAAAAAGACGTTAGAGGCTTGCCTCTTCGCTGTCGCGTATTCTTTTAGCGTTCGAAGGCAATGTGAAGCTAACCTTTTGCCACTAATTTCAGTAGAATTTGGCTGCCTATAACCGACCAAACTTTTAGAGCGGAGTCTAGTTCCTTGAATCAGTACTTCAAGACCGTCCAAGATCCTCTGTGAATTTTAAGTAATTTGTGTTCCTTTAAACGTTCGCCTCGTTGTCCGTGAACGTCTCCCAAGCTTCTTAAAATTTAGCAATTTTTCTCACAAACTATGAATGCTCTTGCTTTTGTTTGGGTCCATATTTCCTAAAGTTTTTGATACAAGTTAATTTTCAATCTCTATTTGTGCATCTTAAATTTCTCGGAGCAATGTTAATTGAAGTTTGATTTCCGACTAGAACAGTAGAGACTGTGCAACATCAGTGTAAGAAACAACAAAAAGCCACAACTAGCAACGTATTTTCTGTATTTAATTTGTAGCGTTTCGGCGGATGTGGGCGTCCGGAGTTTCCCAATCCGGCGGCTGAGTTTTTGTCAGTAGCTTGGATTGGGTCAGCTGTTCGTCAGCATCGCCATCGAAGCAATTTTGCCCGACCTCGGTTTTTTATTCGCCTACTTAACAATTTCGTTGTATGTAAACTTGCAACGCAGATTATTAACGCTCTCCGCGCGGTGTTACTTTCGCTGTTCTCGTAAACTTAAAATTCGGTTTTAATGAAGAATTAACGAAAGCGAAAACTCATTTTAGATTATATATACAGTATATAGAAAATCGAGCACCCACATAAACAATATTATTAATAAGTGGACGGAGTATTCAGTCAGGAGTATATCTTAAATCAAGGTAAAGCGTAATTGTCTCGATTTTAATTTTTTTGTATAAACGACTCCAAATTGTAAATATAAATATACTTTTCAAAAATACACTTACCTTCGTTGCTAGCGTAGTCCAATGGTAAAGGCAAATGATTTGTAGATTTTTTATCAAGTTCATCCTGATGCTTGGATCTCATGAAATATACTGTAGCTATTATGAAAATGACCAAAAATAGGACGCCTGTCACAATGGCTCCAGCAATAAATCGAATTTGCACAGAATCTTCGTAAACTGTTAATGGTTAGACAAAATAAGTATTTATCGTCACCGTAATTGAGGATAACATTTACCTGAGCCTACGGGTTGAAGAGTTTGTGCATAAATCATATTACTATAAGAACCAAAGCCATTTATCGTTTTACATCGAACTTGAAATCCATATTCGGTGTTTTCCAGCAGGCCTTCTATATATGCCTTTGTCTCCTTTGTATTTAAAGCTGTTTTATTAATGGCTTCTAATTCAGCCTTGGGAAACCAACGCACTTCATAAAACTCAAGTGGAGAATCACTTTGAACGGGCTTGTCCCACTCTAATTCAGCATTCTTACTGGTTATTGCCAATATACGTAAGTTAAATACTGTCGAGAGCAAAACTGACTCAGTTGTAAAAACAATGTCGGCGTAACCGGTCTTTATTTCGTTCAAATCTAACGGAATGTTGAAAAACGACGCATTAGAAAATGTTATATCATTGATTGCTGTCAGTGACGATTCGTTGGAGTACCGGCTTGAGTCGGTAAGATATGACACGCTATTCGTTGCGTGTATCTGCACAGTGTAAGTCGTTACTGGTTCCAGATTTGTTAGTGTTATTTTTGTTTCGTTGAATGTGTCTGTTGAGGGGTTGTACATTACGTTTGGGCTGCACATGTTGCACCGAATCTTGTACACAATATTACTGTGATATTTTGTTGTCTGCGCTTTGTTCGAATGTGTTTCATTTTTGATTGGGGCGCTCCAGGATATAATAGCACTTGTTTGGTCGACAAACAATAACGTAACATTTGTAGGTGCAGCTGGTGGACTATAGCAAGGCATATGTCGGCCATCATTCGGATGCCTATAATATCCTGATATACACTTGCAAAATGGAGATCCAGTCTTTAAGGAATTTGAATTCAGTGGACACTGCGTACACTTTGTTACTTCAGGGGATTTAAATGTTCCAAGCGGACATTCTGAAATCAGGAAAATGAAAACAATAAATCATTTTAAAAAAGAAGAAAAAGCAGTTCGCTAATAAAATGTTAACATTTTTGAACCTAATTTAGAGAAAAAATTAAAGTCCTTTTTCTCGTACGTACTGCCATGTAGACTTTATATGATGATTGAGAAAAATTAAAATAATTGGATATCGTTTTTTCTTAAATTTTTTAAGATCACGTATTCACATACAAGGAAAATTGTCAAAAATTATTTTGACTGAAATCGTGTCGATGCACAGTCCAAAATTTATTTAAAAACAGATTTTGAGAATCGAATACTTTGCCAAAATGTAATAAACTGATCTGAACGATCGCCAAATCAAAATAAGAAATGTGTGACCTTAATAAATAGTCGATCCCAAAAAACTACTAAAATAAGAGCTGCAGTTCTTAAAATATTTTCTCTGCCCAGTTCTTTGTTATAAACTGTGTTGGACCAGTTTTTGTAGGTAGTACTGGTACCAGACAGGTACCAGTATGTAAGGAATAAGGTATTTGCGTATCTATATGAAGAAAAGGTAAAACATTTTCCAAATGCTTTAATAAAAATTAATCCCTCCTTTTTCCATACATTTTTAGGTATAATTTTTTTCTAAAAATAGGAAAAAATTATTAAAACAAGGGACAAGCTTTCTATTTTTTATATTTTTTGAAAGTATGGAAACTTAAAAATTTTTAGGGCGATTACCAAAGATTTTAACTCCTTTTTTATCCAATAATAGAAATAATATATATAGTTTGGGAAAAAATCTTTAACAGTACTGACCTGTGCATGTTTTATTCAAATCATTTGGTTCAAATCCAGCCTTGCAACGACAGCCCCCAGTAAGAATTGTCCATTTGCCGTCACCTTTGCAAAGGTACGTTGGTGCCTCATAGGGTTCTGCGTTTTCGACACAAGTTCCATTTTGCTTCTCGATAATAGTTATTTCCCTTCCCGTGGGTGTTTCGTTGAAATGTGCCAAATTCTCGGTGACAGCCGGACACGTAATATAATAGACTTTTACTGCCAGAACACTAATACAAGCGCCTTGATCTCTAAACGCAAAGTAAACGCCTTTTTTGTTTACGGCTATGCTTTTTACCTCGGTGTTTATATCTACATCAGAGTTTTGATTGAAGCGGCCCTCTCCAGCCGCGATGCGAGCAATAAGCCTGTAACTGTCGGTTTGCCAAGGAGGGGGCTCTCGGGTGGCAGCATCGAACTCGTAGAAAAGTAAACTAAAGGTTTCCTTGCAGGACAACGCGTTTCCTAAAAATAGCAAAGACATGTGTACGATTTTAGTAAAAGAAAATTAAATAAATAATTAAAAGTGGAACGGTATGCAATATTACTCTCAAAAATTAAATAAAAAAAATATAGTGCTATTTTAAACATAAATAAAATATGTTTGTTTGTGTTGGCCTTTTTTTTATAATAGGCGGGGTTACTCCCCAGTGAGTGTGATGAAAGTTTTTTTTTTTTTATTTTTTTTTTTATTTTAACTTTGCTTTTATTTATTGAATCTTCTCTTAATTTTGAGACTAACAATAAGTTTACGAATCTTAACATTTAAATTTAACTAACAGTATAATAAGACTGCATTCTGGTTGCGCGTGCCTCAAGTCGGTCGCTGGGTGGGTAAGTCATTGCGACGAAGGCGTGATTGGTTGATCAACCTTGTAAGACCTCTCGCCAGGTGGTTAGGGTGCAACGATAGCTTGGTAAAGTACTTTTCCTTCTGTTCTGCGATCACTTCTTTGACTGGTAGAATGTTTAAGTCGCGATGTATGGTTTCGTTGCGAACGTACCACGGTGCCCCGGTGATTGTTCTCAAGATCTTCGACTGAGCTCGCTGGACTATGTCAATATTGCTATTGCTGGCATTCCCCCATAACTGAGAGCCGTACATCCATATAGGTTTTAGTACCGAGTTATACAGCAGGACTTTATATTCAAGACTAAGGGGAGACCGAGCGTTGATAAGCCAATGAAGGCTACTGGCTTTTAGCTTTAGGTGTGTTCTTTTGGCTTCAATGTGCCGGCGCCATGTGAGTCTTCTGTCGAGGTGTACTCCTAGATATGTCACTTCGTTTGCTTGCGGGAGTAGAGTATGGTTTAACATGAGCGGCGGGCAGTTTTGCCTGTTCAGGGTGAACGTAACGTGCTTGCATTTTTGTTCGTTCACTTTAATTCGCCAATCTGATAGCCACTTTTCTACATCGACCAGATGAAGAGCGAGCTGCGCAGTTGCTTGCATCGGGCATTTTGAGCGGCTGAGAATGGCTGTATCATCAGCAAACGTAGATGTTGTTAGTCGTGTGCTTGTTGGGATATCTGCTGTGTAGAGGACATATAATGTTGGCCCAAGCACGCTTCCTTGAGGAACTCCAGCTCCAATAGTGAAATCGTCAGTTATAGCAGTGTTGCATCGAACAGCAAATTTTCTGTCGTAGAGGTAAGACTCTAGAAGCTTATGGGTGTTGTAGGGGAGCATTGTCTTGATCTTGAACATTAGACCTTCTAGCCAAACTCTATCAAATGCTTGAGAGACGTCTAAAAATATGGCAGTACAGTACTCTCGTTTTTCGAACGCGTTCCGAATTTCTGATGTTATCCGGTTGACCTGCTCAATTGTTCCGTGCTTTTCACGAAACCCAAATTGATGTGACGGAATTCCTTCCTGGATTCTTAGGTATGTGTTTATCCGAATCAATACGCATTTTTCAAAGAGTTTAGATAAGCATGAGAGTAGGCTTATAGGTCTATACGACGTGGGAATTGTGTGGTCTTTTCCTGGCTTTGCTATCATTATTATAATCGACTTTTTCCATCTCACTGGAAAGTGGCCAAGTTTTGCGATGGCATTAAAAAGCTGGGTGATAGTGCAAACGGCGCAATATGGGAGCTCAATGATCATTTTGGGAGTTATGAGGTCGCAGCCCGGGGATTTTTTCGGATTCAGCTGATTTTTGATGATGTTAACGATTTCGTTTGGGCGAAACTCAATTGGTTCATGTTGAAGCTGAGGCTCATGTGGTAAAGTCGGCAAGGTGAACGCACTAGTGGCAGGATTTGGTTGGAAGACATTTTTAAGGTGGTTGGCAAACGTGCTGGCTCTGTCTGCATCGCTGCGCGCCCAGCCGCCTGTGGGGTTTCTAATAGGCAACACGGTTACTTTCGGTGAGCTTAGAGTAGGGTGAGCTCTCCATAGTGAGTGTTTTGTGCTAGATGTTGACAATTGCTCTATGTAGCGTCGGAGGACATGTGCTTCTTCTTGCTGTAAAGCTTTTGTGAGTTGACGTGAGGCATATTTGAAGCTTTGCCTAGCAGATGGTGATCTGTGGAGTTGCCACTCTCGACGTAAGCGTCGCTTTTCGAGGACGAGCTGTTCTATTTGTAGATTTGTCTTCTTTTGGTTGCTTTGTGTACTTGTAGTTTGGGGTGTTGAAACTCGAGCTGCAGAGACGAGTACAGACTCCAGTGTATTAACAAATCTGTCTACGTTGGCTTCATCGTTGAGATGAGGACTTAGCTCAATGTGTGAGCTAATGTATTTCTTGTACTTAACCCAATTGGTTTTCTGAGATGTCAATTTAAACGATTGCTCCAATGCGCCTGGATGTCGGAGAAGAATAAACAGGACAGGCGAGTGATCCGATGAAAGATCCGAGAGGCATTCGGCGCTTATCAGATTTTTAGAAATGTTTTTGATAATTGCAAAGTCTATTAAATCGGGTAGTTTCCTTGGGTCTGCCGGCCAGTATGTTGGTCTGCCAGGAGAAACATAGTCCAGCTTGTTCTTGGCTTTTATAACTGCATTATAGAGCTGTTTTCCTTTTGGAGTCTCGAGACGTGATCCCCAGTGTGTGTGCTTGGCGTTGTAGTCCCCTGCTGCTATGAAGTGGTCTCCTAGTGAGTTGAAAAACTGCATAAACTCATCTTCAGCTATGGTGAAGCGAGGGGGGCAGTATATGGCGGCTAGTGTAAGTTGGTTGCCAGTATTTGTTTGTATATTTATAGATGTGGCCTGTAGATAATTTTTAGCAAATTTGTTATGATAGTGGTGCTTAATACGGCTTCTGATTAGAATTCCAGTCCCACCATGTGCTTTACCATCTGGATGATTTGTTCCGTAAAATGAGTAACCTCGTAGTTGAAAATTGTATTTATTTGTAAGGTGTGTTTCTGAGAGCAGCATTACGTCGATATGGTTGTCGAGTAGGAATTGACCTAACTCAAGTTTATGCTGTGAGACGCCGTTAGCGTTCCACGTAGATATCCTTAGGGAAGTCATTATTTGGATTGTTGTGAAACCAGCATTTGAATCAGTAGATTTTGGTTTCGCATTAAATCTTGCATAGTTGTGCGCATAAACGACATAAACTCCGTAAGGCTTTGCTGCAGGCTGTATATCATATCTTCGAAGTTGCTTTTTGACTGCTCCGGGAATTGTTGCTGCTGAGCCGTGTTCGGTTCTTGGTATGCTGATTGCAGAAATGAACTTTTTGAGACAGGGTTAGCCAGTCCTGATTTTAAAGCGCTTGCGTAAGTCACATTTTTATCAGAGTTTAAGGGTCCTAGTGAGGATCTGGCTGCAGTCGAGAAGAAGACTTCAGGGTTTGTTCTGGAAGCTGTCATCTGTTTATTTTGGGTGCGGGCGGCAGTTCCTCTCTGGTGGATGCGACTTTTCAGCTCCTTGTAAACAGGGCAGCCTCTGTAGTTAGCAGTGTGATTGCCACCGCAGTTGCCGCACTTTTTCGAGTTGCAGTCATCTTTGCTCGTTGGGCAGTGTGCGGAGTCATGAAGATCTCCACAAACTACACACACCGGGCGCAGTTTACAGTATGACCTTGTATGGCCATATTCTTGGCAGTTCGCACATTGTACCGGGCCATTGCGTTTGTGCGGTTCCTCAACTGTAATTCTGCGGTGCAGCAGGAACTGAAGATTGTAAATGGGGTGCACTTCGTATTTCTTTAGGGGCTTATTTTCTGGTTCGAGCTCAACCTTAAAGAGTGGCTGCGGCTTTCTATCCCTGTTAAGGATGTTGAAGACTGTCTTAGCGTTAAATCCCTTCTCTTGAAGCGCCTTTGTTATCTCTGCAGGCGTTACGTCGGACTCTATGCCCTTAAGTACGACTTGCAGGCCCTTGCTACTTTTTAGCTGATACGTGTAAAAGTTATTTTTATTCTCGGAAAGATATTTCGATAATACTCTGTAATTATCTTCAGACTTCATTTGAACCTTTGTTTCCTGGATGTTGCCCTTTACTAGAGGTATTATGTGGAAGTTATCCTTTCCAATAAGCTCGATAATTTTGTTGACAAGAACATTGGAACTTTTTTCTCGAATATAAATAGGCGGAGGTTTTGGCTTCCTTTTCTCGACTTCAGTGGATTCGGCCGCCTCAACGTCATAGGCGTCTTCCAAGATTTTAAATCGGTTTGAGTTCGTTGGCGTTTCTATTCCAGCTAGGCTAGCATTGTTACGGGTTATTTTGCGTTGAGAATTTAGAGGGCTCAGCTTCCTTTTGATTTGGATGTAGCGATCCATACCAGTCTGCACAGCCGGCTTTGTACATTCATTGGTTTTGTTCTGTTTTTCGGGCAGCGCAGTGGCAGACGTATTAATATTTGCGCTGCTAGCTGATGATGTCATTAAACGAGCAGTCGATACGGTTGCAGTTGTTGTTGTAGTTACAGTTGACGTTGTTAAAGAAATTGCGGTGCTAGTTACTGCTGATGAGCTTAGGTTATTGCATACCTGCATTGGAGCACATTCAGCGCTCTTTGGCCGCAGAGACGTCGATGGTAGCGAGGGGGAGCAAGAACGCGCTCTCTCGCTCGATACGTTTAAGAACTCGGTCAAGTTGGGGGTAATTGCCCGCGCTTGATCAGAGCTTGCATTATTTTCGGTTGCTTTAAAAGAGAAGTACGCGTTATTTCTTTGTACTGAGAGCCGTCTCTCGTCTTGCTCACGTTGACGTTGTGTGCGAACGTCGTTCAGACTCATTGTATTCGTGGTAAAGTTAATTAGAGTTTTAAGTGTTAAGTTTTATATTAATTAAATGACCAATCAATATAAACATTTGCGATTTCATCGCAGAAAGCGTCTTTTCGCGTTATAGTAGATTTATTAAAACGGTCACTGCACTTTTGTGATTTTATTGAATATTTTTTCCCGGAGCACAATAAATACACGTCTGCAAGCGACGACGGTTTAACAAGAGATTCAGAGATTTAAAATTTAATTTGCAACTTTCAAAGCGAAACCCAGAATGACCTCTTATAGCGTTGACAAAACGGAGAGGAGACAAAAGCGTCCTGAGATCTAGACAGAAGGCGACTGTCTAAGTGGAAAAAGCGTTGTGTTATAGTAGAAAATAAAACCAACGTATGAGCTCGAGTAATCCAATAGCTTCAATTATTATAAAAAAAAGGTCAAAACAAACCAACATAAACAAAAGTGGATCTACACGCCATGAAAATTGGGGAATTAACAATCTTTAACTATTGTTGTATTTACTAGTCTGCATATCGGAAAAACCGACAGACAAAACTCTGAAACTCTCTGAGTGGCCTCTAGTAATCCAATAGCTTCAATTATCAAAAATAAAATATTTAATTTTATTGAAGTCTTTATTAAATTTTTATACCCTTGCAGAGGGTATTATAATTTTGGTCAAAAGTGTGCAACGCAGTGAAGGAGACATCTCCGACCCTATAAAGTATATATATTCTTGATCAGGATCACCTCCTGAGTTGATATAGCCATGTCCGTCTGTCCGTCTGTCCGTCTGTCCGTCTGTCTGTCCGTCTGTCTGTCCGTCTGTCTGTCCGTCTGTCTGTTTCTACGCGAACTAGTCTCTCAGTTTTAAAGATATCGAATTGAAACTTTGCACACACCCTTCTTTCCTTTGCACGCAGTATATAAGTCGGAACGGCCGGGATCGGCCGACTATATCCTATAGCTGCCATATAACTGAACGATCGGGAATGCCATAACTTTGGTGTTTTTAAAGTTAGAAAGTTGGGATTTTCTATGGGTTTTACATTTGGCCAATCAATTTGACGTACCAAATTTTATAAGGATCGGCCGACTATATCCTATAGCTGCCATATAACTGAACGATCGGAAATGCCACAACTTTGGTGTTTGTAAAGTTAGGAAGTTGGGATTTTCTATGGGTTTTACATTTGGCCAATCAATTTGACGTACCAAATTTTAAAAGGATCGGCCGACTATATCCTATAGCTGCCATATAACTGATTAATCGGAAATGCCATAACTTTGGTGTTTGTAAAGTTAGGAAGTTGGGATTTTCTATGGGTTTTATTTTTGGCCAATCAATCCGACCTACCAAACTTCATAAGGATCGGCCGACTATATCCTATATCTGCCATATAACTGAACGATTGGAAATGCCATAACTTTGGTGTTTTTAAAGTTAGGAAGTTGGGATTTTTTATGAGTATTAAGAATGCATCATATGAATAATTTTGGGGAATATATTTTACAGAGTATTCTGCAAGGGTATATCAACTTCGGCTCCGCCCGAAGTTAGCTTTCCTTTCTTGTTAGCTTTAAGATTAAAACAAAGTCGAAGTGTCGCGGCTTTAAAATCCCGGTTACTTAGCTAACCATAATCAAAATGAATATCATTTCAGCTGAGTGCACCTGCTGGCGTCAATGCTAACACTTTTAGCACAGAGCGAGTAGCACAAGCCACTGCTAACAGCTCTTTCACTTTCTGAAATTTATGTACTTTGTTTCTCAAGTGACGTTATAATTAACACTTAAAATTGCTAATAACTTCTAAAATAATTGTACAATTTGGAAAATTGTTAAAAAAAAATTGGCCGTTCCGACTCATATACTGCGCGCAAAGGAGCGAAGGTTGTGTGCAAAGTTTCAATTCGATATCTTTAAAGCTGAGAGTCTAGTTCGCGTAGAAACAGACAGACGGACATGCTTATATCAATTCAGGTCGCGAGATGTCTCCTTCACTGCGTTGCACACTTTTGACCAAAATTATAATACCCTCTGCAAGGGTGTACAAAATAGAACAAAACAAAAACAATTCATTGAATTTTTAAAAATTAATGACAGTAATGACATTTTCATTAGATTTAGTAAATACAAAATTGTAGTTTCTTAAAACAATAAAGATTGGATAATTATATTAAATTTAGCAACTTTGGAAACATTGTTATTTTCCCCCTTTATTTATGTACATAACAAAAATCGGTTCGTTTGATTATAAGCTAGGATATTCACTAGGGATGATACGATATCATTTTCCTAAAGATTTTTTCTGAAACATTAATGCATAAGCTTATGTTTTATCGGATTTACTTAAAATTTTTGATACCCCCCAAAAACCAAAAAAATTATTTTTGATGTGCAGCGATTCCATTGTAATTGAATTTCAAGGTCCCGTGTTTTGTTACAAAAATACATAATAAATAAGATTTTTTTGTGAAAATAATATCAATTCCCAGGTCCCACATCGGCAAATAAAATAACCTCGATGGAGAGCTATTTTTAAAAACCTGATCATGTATACCCAACTTATAACTTTTTGATGTTTTTCCACAGTCGTGTTTGAGTTATTCATACATTGTTAAACAAAACTGCACATGATTTCTCGAAAATTACATACAATTGTTACACAATAATTAAAATGCCAGATGATTTATGGTTCTAAAGAAAGTGTTTTTTTTCTCTTCCACGAAAGTCATTAAATCACCAAAATGATCACCGGTTGTACACATGTATTTATTTTATAAATAAACAAAACAAATAGTTTTTATTATGGAAAAAACTATTTTCGACTTTCCTGCATTCTTTAAAACATTCCTACTTGTATAATTGTTTGCAATATTTCCTAAAAAAAAAATTATTGTAATATTTTTGTATGCGTTTGTTCACGTAAAGAATGAATTAAAGCGACTAAATTGGGTCCCCTTGACAATTTAAAGATCAACAGCCCTGAAAAAAAACAGATAAATAAATAATAATTTATTATTAACGTTTTTGCCCTCCCTATAAAGCCCTAAATGACAGAAAACGTTGATAAAGTTTCAGAGTACACGCAATTAATTGTCAATCGAGTTTTGGTTGTTTCTCAGATTTTGTAACTTAAAAGGTGGGATAAAGTTTTTATACACATGCTGTTATATTTATTCCAAACGAATAACATTGAAGAAAAAAAGGTCATGTTTCTGAGTTTACAATTGTTGGCGGGGACCTCATAGTCATAATGGTCGATTAAAGCTGAAAAAAACAAATGCGTATATTTACCTGGGAATAAAGAACAGTCGCGTATTGTAAATTGAATTTCAATGTAAAGTCTGTTTGCTGGCCCACGATCTATAAATGGCGACCACAGCCAGTTGTTGACATTGTGATATGCCACATCACAAACAACGTAACTTCTCCAGTTAATGCCTTTTACAAAGTCTGTAAATGACTCTTCTACCCACTGAAAGTAAAAAATTAAAATATTAGAAAAGTTTCATATACATGTTCAAATAATAAAACAAAATTTAAAATTACCTACACTACTTTGCGCCTAGCCATTCATGTATAATTCTGTTAGAGTTGGACCCCTAAGTTACAAAAATTGCAATCAGCAATATTTTCATAGTTACAAAGATTCGATTATGCTTGCATACAGTGTTATATTTTTGGTCAGAAGTTTCTAATAAATAAACAAGAGAGAACGCTATAGTCGAGTGCCTCGACTATGAAATACCCGTTACTCAGCTAAACAACTTAATATAAATATGCCTTCTTGTGTTTTTTTGTTTTTTTTTTTTAACATAATGTGAATTATAGTGACCACAGGAAAAAAAGACAGAAAGTTCAAATTATCAATTTGAATTCGGGGATCTCTTAGTGCTGGCAGCTTTACAGCACGAGCATCAGCACCAGCGCTGCTTTAGCGCAGGCAGCTTTTGTCCTGCACCAGCAGCTGTGTTTATGTTTATGTTTTTGAGTGCAATAAATTGACAAGAAATATTAAACATATGTACCTACTTATATTGGCTAAAAACACATACATTCTTAAATAGTATTATGTATATTAAAGTCTAAATGTTTGCACAACACGAGTAACGGGTATAGCGAATAGCTTTCTTTGAAAGGACCCTCCAGTTCCGAAATTCATCACTACAAAAATTCATCACTGTTTAATCAGCAGCGGACTGCGACGCCGGCAGAGCCAAAGGCAAAGTCGGCAGAGCCGAGTGCGACGCAGGCAGAGCCGAAACTCTCAGTCCCCGATCGTAGGCAACGCAGAAAAATTTCCATCTCCCTCTCTTACTCTGTCTCTCTCCCCATAAAATGAGCTGAGAGGTGGAGGACAATGTAATAAAATCAGATCGACCTTTATACACCCTTGAAAATAAATTAGCATAATTTTTGTATTGTAGTCGTTGATTCTTATTAATTATATTATTTTATGGAAATACTTTTTAAAAATAAAATTATTATGATAGTTTTGAAAGGTATGGATTCCTTTTTTAGTGAATTTAAGTTATGTGATTATTTTTCATAGTCGGACATGCTTTTATATACCCTGCTTTGACGCCAAGCGAAACATGTAAAGACAAATTAGGCAAAGGAAAGAACAATAGGATTAACGGCGCCCTTGTTTTCAACTGAAGTTGTTTTCGCGGTTTTTACGTGCACTTGCATTTGAGAGAACGGAGAGAACAGATCGAAGCTGAGATTTTTGTGAAATTTTATAACTAAATTTATCAGAAATTTATGTAAGTGTTATTTTATTAATTATTTTGAACTGTACCTACATATACTGTTAATATATTTATTCATTATTTAAGGCGAAGCTTATAATAAAACTGTTGGGCCAGCATAAACTAAGCTGGACTTGGCCGGCGGCAAAACAAAAAAACGCAGTAAGTTTTTATTTTTTTAATAATTTTTCTATTTCAGATATACTTGGTCAGGAAGAGCCAGTACATAAAGCACGAAGTCAAAAAAAGGGCACGGAAACCGAAACATCCTCAACACCTCCGGGACAACTGAAAACGTACATACACTCACTCGCATATCTCTGCGTACACCCCAAAAAAATTTCAAAATCTAACTTTAAACCCTAGCTGTTCGGCCATTTATGCATATATTCAACCCATTCTTTTTTTAAACATAATTATAATTTATTGTCTTCATTGACGTATTTTTTTTTAAATTATTCAACAGTGTCTTATATTTTATTTTTAATTTTAAACTTAACACTACCAAAAAATGTACCCGCAAAAGTCTGCGTACACCTGTTTAAAACACAAATAATATTATTTTTAGTAACTGGTAGGGTATTCTTTTCTCTGCAAAACTTCCGTAAGGCGTCTCGGGATGGAATCCACTTTTTTTTGTCTCATTTGCAGTAATTTTCCCCTACTCCTCGAGAATCACATTCTTGAGCATTTTTTTAGATGTTATCGTGTGTCTTCGGATTTTCCTCTCAAGAAGATCCCAAAAATGCTCATTTGGGCTTAGATCAGGACATTGGGGAGGTGTTCGCAGCTGATTTATGACGTTATACAGCAGCCAAAGCTTGGTATTCTGCGCCGTATGCTTCGGGTCGTTGTCTTGTTGGAACCAACATTCACTTTCGAGCCCTAATTTTTCAGCACTTTCTTTTAAATGGTTTTTTAATATGTCAATATAGATTTTCTGATCCATTATTAACTCGATAAATACCAATTTTCCAACGCCACTTGCTGCCATACACCCCCACACCATTATTCCGCTTCCTCCTTGCTTTACTGTGCCAACCAAATTTTCTTAATTTGAGGCTTCTCCGCTTTTCCTCCATACCAAAACCTTTCCCTTGATTCCAAATAAGCAGAATTTAGTTTCGTCGGGAAATATAATCTTATTCCAGAAGTCTTGGTGTTTGGAAATATACTCATTAGTAAAGGTTAGGCGCTTTTGTCTATTGACTTCCAATATGAGAGGTTTTTTGCGGGCGGCTCTGCTATGGTAGTCAGCCTTTTTTATGGTCCGGCGTACAGTATCTTCGGAAACTCTTTTGGAAAATCTATCCTCGACCTTCAGCTTTGCCTGGTGAGCTGTCGTCCTTGGGTTGAGCTGAATAGATTTGATAATATTCCACTGCTCGCGGATTATAAGCAAAGGCGGACGGCCAGAACGAGCCTTTGGCAAGATACTTCCAGCCGAGTTGTAGTTATCTATCACTCTTTGGATGGATGAGTGGGTTCTACCAACTAAAGCACCAATTTCTCTATAAGATTTTCCATCCAAAAAACCTTTTAATATAATTTTCCACTCCTCAACAGAAATTTCCTTGCCTTTTTGTTCCATGTTGCAATATGCTCGTTATTATAATGAAAAAGTTTTATTTTAACTGCGTAATGTCTATTTTTAGGCATTCTAAAGTAGATCGGCGACAACAAAATTAACGGAAATCGCACAATCCTGCATTCCTCGAAGTTGAAAACTGCTGTACGCAGACTTTTGCGCGTACACTTTTTCGTAGTGTTAGGTTTAAAATTAAAAATAAAATATAACCCCCTGTTGAATATTTCTAATATTTCTACGTCAATGAAGACAATAAACCATAGTTTTGTTTAAAAAAAGAATGAATAAAATACATGCATAAATGGCCGAACCATTAATGTTCAAAGTTAGATTTTGAAATTTTTTTGGGGTGTACGCAGAGATATGCGAGTGAGTGTATGTAGATTGAATTAAGTTAAATTAATTAGTTATATGTAATGAAATAAATGAAATAATAATGAAATATTGTAATAAAATAAAAAATGAAATTTATATGAAAATTTACTGAATGAATTTTACTGATGAAAAAAAAGCGATGAAAAAGCGATGAAAATGCGATGAAAAAGCGATGAAAAAGCTATGAAAATGAGATGAAAAAGCGATGAATTACTGATTAAAGAGTGATGAATTACTGATTAAAGAGTGATGAAAAACTGAAAAAAGAGTGATGAATTACTGATTAAAGAGTGATGAATTTTTCACTGATTAACTCCTAGGACATGCCAATGTTAAATTCATCACTAATTTGTATGAAGTTTCATCGCCGATTAATCAGCAGTGATGAATTTTTGGTGATGAAAAAGCGATTAAAAGGTGATGAACGGTACTGCAGGGGAGTTATCTTTGCATACATACACACATACGCCATTGTTTGACTCAGACCTCCAATTTGGCTAACTAGATTTGATTTGCATAGTTCTTGGGATATAGTTCGGTATTGACAAATGAAAACCATCGCAAATTCCTTTAATAGAAATCCTTATCGAGAATTAACGTTGACTCTGTTGAGCACCTTGGCCAGCTGTTCCAAAGTCATCCGTTAGATGGCGCCATGAAAGGCGGAAATGTAGGCGCTAGCCAGGCTTAAGCGTTTAATGGGTTTTTGGGCGTTAGAGTGGGCGTGGCAAACTTTTATTAGGCCAATCGATATTTATTGACGAAACAAATACATATCAATTAAAATTTTCAGAATATCATCAAAACTGTGGCCACAACTTGTGGCTTGTGGGCGTCAGAGGGGGCGTGGCACCATTTTGAAACAAACTTGCGCTGCGTAGGAACTCCTAAAATCTACATGCAAAATGCCAATCTTCTAGCTTTTATAGTTTCCGAGATCTCAGCGTTCATACGGACAGACAGACGGACCTGGCTAGATCGACTCGGCTAGTGATCCTGAACAAGAATATATATACTTTATAGGGTCGGAAACGCTTCCTTCTACCTGTTACATACTTTTGCACGAATACAATATAACCTATTACTACTAATAATATATTACTATTACTTATAATAATATTTCTATTAAAATTGATAACAAAAATTGTTCTATTATTAACTTGTTATACCCTTGTAGAGGGTATTATAATTTCAGTCAAAAGTTTGCAAAGCAGTGAAGGAGACATTTCCGACCCTATATATTCTTGATCAGCATCACCAGGAGAGTCGATCTAGCCATGTCCGTCTGTCCGTCCGTTTCTACAACTTCTCGACAACTTTTCGAAATGTTTCAAGCAGATAGCTTTAAAACTGTGTGCCTAGTTTGCGTAGAAACGGACGGAAGGACAGAATATCTATACTTTACATAGGCTCGGATATGTCTCTTTCACGGCGTTGCAATTTTTTGACTGAAATTATAATACCCTCTGCAGGGTTATAACAACAGTCAATCATAGTTCAGTCATTACGATCAATTATTCCATTATTTTATAAAAAGAGGTGCATCGACTACAAGATACCAGTTACATGGCTAATCATTTCTGAAATAAATAAATCCCCAGCTGATGTCGCTTTTCTTTCGGACGAAAAACAATCGTCATCTGCTGTTATTACAGTACAATCTATAAACGAGTAGCACATTCAATAACTGGTAAAATAATGGTTCGCGATTTGTGATCGCTGGAGTGGGCGTGGTGCACATCCTTCGTAGGTATAACTTAAATGTGCATGTTAATCGCAAACCTCTGCGGTTTTAGATCTTGAGATTTCGGCGTTCATACGGGCAGACATAAACATACATGGCTAGATCGGCTAGACTATTGATACTGATCATATAGGTTCAGAAATGCTTCTTTCTACCTGTTACATTCTTTTATATATTTTTACTTTTCGAGAAGCGGGTACGAAAACTGAGTTTGACGCTAAACGCAATTCGCATTCCACATGTAAGTAGCGCCTTAGATGTATCTCAAATGTATTCATCGAGCAATTGTTAACTTTGCATGTTAGTCAAATTATAAAAAATTAACAAAACCAGCTAGATTTTTCAAATTTTGTATTCCCTTCTGGGACAGGCATTAATCAATCAAGGAGAAACACTATAGTCGAGTCTTATTATTTGAATTTCCAAACAAAATGAAGAATTGTCCGTTTTCTTATTATTTATTTTTTTCATTTAAGAAAAATAATCGCAATCCAAAAAAAAATCGTATTGAACCACAGTGAAAAACTCACGATCTACCTTTACAATGAAACTTTTTCTTATCAAAACGAATTTATTGGAAAATTAAGACCATGGTACCTTGTCAATAAAACCACGCTTAAGAATGACACAATCAGCCATGTTAGCAAAAGATGACAATTTTGTACAATAAAGAAAATTTAATGAAAGGAAGGAAATCCATTTCCAATAAAGAAATGTTATTGGAAAACGAAAAGAAGTCATTTTGTGAAAACAATAATAAAACTACCAATTAAGCTGATTGTTTGGAACTTTAAATAATAATCATTTAAAAACTGTACATTAAATTAAAATTTAGTAAAATATTCACTATTTGTATGTGCCTGTAACAATAATATTCGAGAGACTGTGTGTTTTGTAAAATCGTTATTCTAACATATAAACCCACGACGTTTTATACATTGTATGTATGTTTACCTTATAACTACGTGATGACCAACATCAAATTTTCTTGTGTAAAATTGAAAAGGATATGAAAAAGGACCATTTTGAATATGGGTATAAGTAGGGGCTTATTCTATTCTGCTGATTCAGACAAAAAATGCAATGAAGGAGACATCTACGACCCTATAAAGTATATATATTTTTGATCAGTAGCAACAGGAGAATCGATCTAGCCGTGACCATCTGTTCGCTTTTACGCAAACTAGTCCCTTAGTTTAAAAGACTCCAAGTCTTCATTCTATGCAGGTAGTATATAAGTCGAAACGGGCCGGATCGGTCGACTATATCATGTAATTCCCATAGGAACCAAGGAAATATAAATGAACAAAAATTCTAGGATATAGTAATTTTAAACAACTTTATAAAGCTTCCATAGGAACGGTTGACAAATTTATTGTAAAATCGGCGAAGCTTTATTATTTATAAGCATATACACATAAAAATCGCTGCCTGGGCTTATAAAGTTCGTCTTACTTTCTATGTTGTTTTATTCCGTGATTAGCTTATTAGAAAATTAATTAACACAATACGTACCCCAGGTGTTTGAGCTTGAGGACCATACGGATACCTGGTCCACTCCAATGTCGCTTCTCTAGTTGTGTCCAACAAAACAACTGGAAAAATTAATTGAGTTTAGAACTATGCAATTCGCTGAATCGAGACAAAACTTCAATGTGCGGTACGTACCCTGATCGGCATTCGTCGACCCTAAGTGAACCGTTATTATGATAAATAATATTATGCTGAAGAATGACATTTTGGAAATAATTCGAGATCTGTTTTGCCTCTTTATTGGTGCTTGAAGGACGTTAAACGCGGATTGAAGTGTGCTAATGATTTCATTTTGTGAGGAAGTCAGGTTTTGTTTGGAAGAATTTGTTTTAAAAAAATGGTATTTTAATTCGCCGCTGCCAATAGAACGGCACGTAGACAGCATTTTAATTTTCTTTGGGTCGTATTTCAGTAGTCTTATTTTGAATTGAATACTTCTTTTGCCTTTGTCGCACTGTGTCGCGAAGTGCATAATGTTGACAGCATCACAAAATACTTGTTTCAGGTCCAGGCTTAGGAGTAGGGAAAAAAATCATTTTAATAAAGGCATACTGGGCCAGATTTACACTTCCTCTTCTTAATTACTTCAAGGACCTGCTTGCATTATTATGTGTCAGTATTCATTGGTATATATGCAAATGTATATGAATGCAGGCGTATGTATACATATGGACCTGCATTGATACCGATATACCTGCATTTTTCGTTGCAGCTACATACACATGTACATACACGTTATTATATGTATTCAAATTGATTGTGTGTATGTATGCTATACAAATTAAGGAACGCTTAACTTTGATTTGAAAACTTTTGGGATATGGGTAGGTTTATAGTAATTATTCAAAGAGCTATTTAAATCACTTATATCTGAGAACAAAAAAAGGTTAAATAGATATTGTATACCAGCACCTCAATTAATGCATTCATGCAGGGCAGTAAATTGTCAGTTATCCGCGTATTTTTAAAAAGTGCTTCATCGGACATTAGGCTTTGTCTCAAAAAAAAACCTTAGCGATTTTCGATTGATAAAAGATAACGACGGAAAGAACATTTTAAATGCCTTTTGTATATATAACTTTAAAATATGTATTATTAGTAGTAAGCACTACACTATTTATGTGGTGTTCAGAAAGATTTTCAGTTAAAATACTAGGTATCGATAGAAATTTGAAAGTGCCCACGGTCTCACTAAAATAATCATGAAAATGTATACCAAAATTGATGTAAAAATAGCTTCAACGATTTGGCGTCTAATATGGAACAATAGAAAGAGGAACATATGAAAAATACAATGCAGTGCCACTAAACTGAATCCCACGGATCACATTCCAAAGGAATAATTAGCCTGTTTACGAATAATTAGTTCGCAGTTGGAAATTAGAATGGTTTCTTGGATATCACTGTTCTTTTTTCATTTTTTTGTGCCATTATCTACTAAAGTAAAATCTGTGCCAATATTATTACTTACGAAAAAAGTGGAGAACTCTTTTGCCTTCTTAAAGTCGATTTAAAATCTTGCTCAAGTATTAAGGTCGGGTGAACATCAACGTTCTTTTATCGATATTGCACAATAGTATAGCGTAACTTCTTATCTCTAAGGCTTTCACATGTCTAATGTGTTCTCCACACTTTTTCTAGTATCCTATCGAGTCAGTTGTCTATGGCTTAACTCAATTACCATGGCTCTCAGCTGGTGAGTGATTCCCTAGTATTGCAGCTGGGTTTTAAAATTGTGTCTCGTAAATTGTCTGAGATAAGCCTAGGAGGACGCCTTCCTCACTACCGCGAGTTCCACCCCTTTTGAGAACTTGTCTAAGAAAACCAATAAAATTTTGTTACCGTGGCATGATCTTGCTAATGGTTCAACTATGAGCGATTTGGGTAACCTAATTCCTGCGGCCTGCCGTTGCGACGTCTTGTATCGCTGCTTGGCAGCCTTGCCAGCAGTAGGCCGCCATTACACGGTGTTTTGTGTTTTGTATTCCCAAGTGACCCGCTGTTGCCTCACTATAGTTTTTTCTAAATACCCTATTTGGTTTCTTGCCACACACAGTTGCCACAGCTGTGTATCTTGATCCGAGTCCCATGATGGTAGGTGTCAGTATAACTTTCTTTCCATAACTGCAAAGTCTGGCCACGTTGCAAAATAATTTTATATCGCTGGAAGTTTCTGCTTTATCCAGTCGTCCTCCTCGACCTCCGCTTCATGCACTTCTTCCGAGTAAAACTTCTGAAATTATGGGTAGTTAAACGTAGTTAACTTAGCGCGTTTTATATTCGATTTTTGGGTGTCCAAAACTTTAAAAAGCTCTCCTGAAAAGTGTCCATTTTCAAAGTAGGTGAACACGATCCTGCAAAATATACTTAACGAATCGTTTTGAAATAATGTTGTTGATTTTAGCGCGAAGTTTTTTGACTTTCAAGTGCCTTTAAAAATTTGAGTTTTTTCAATTCGGATTCTCTGACTAGTTACGATGTTCACCGCAAACCACCTTTTTTCAATATTTTTGGATTCAAATTTTTCACATATTGCTTAAATGTTGTATTATCACATGGTAAAAAAAAAATTTAACTGAGACTATCCTTATCGCCAATGAAAATTCGAAAGAATTACCGATTTTGCAGCGAATTAACCATACACACCGCTTAAGTCGCCTTTTATCGTACTTCATTTCACTTTAAATACTCCTAGGATGTTGTGTAGCTTCTTCGTTGTTTTGATGTGTTTAGAATCGCGGTTATTTTCTCCGAGTCTGTGTGTATAGGTATTTGTTTTATATTTACGTGGAAATGTGCCTTCGTATTACTTCTTCGGTGTAACCGTTTGGTTCTTCCGAAGATCACCATGTCTTGATGGTGTAAAAACGTTAATGGTTCCATTTATGATCCAATCACCAAGTCTCTATGTGCAGGTCGAACGGTGTAACCTTCCACAAGCACAGTCCGCGTCCCGGGACCGTAAAAGATGTGAACTGCTTACTGTTCTCTTCCATTGGTATCTGCCAAAAGCCAATTTTTAGATCTAGTGTGCTGATGTACCTTGCTTTCTGTTAATTAAGGGTATTATCCATTCGGGGTACATGGTATGCATCTCGTTATGAGTGCTCATTCAACTGCCTTTAGTCTCCATTGCTGGTTTTTTTCTCTACGTTCACCACCGTCGAGCTGTTTGCGGAGAGCGAGGGTTCAGAAGTTCTGCTGCTTGATCCAGTTCTATATCGTATGCTTCCCATAGTTTCTCTGTTCTGCTAATGAACTCTGACGGGTCGCCAGTGCCGCCGAGTTTTTCCCCGCAAGCTGCGGGAACTTGCAGAGTTTTTGGGTTTTTTCCCTGTTCCCGATAGTATTGTTTGGTGTTGTTGAGGGGCTTATTGTGTGTTTTTGCGCCAGTTCTTTTAGAACTTTCTTTATGATCTGATATCCGAATCTGCCAATAGGGGTAATGGTTTGATTATGAATTTCTTAATGTTTGTTTCTAATTGGGCTTTGTTGGTGTTAGTCACCCAGCCTCGTGTTACTTTGTTAGCAATGGTGTCTTTTTCTGATGTGTTGAGAACGACCATATCTCCGGAGGCGGTAAAGCCAGTGGGCTCGGGACAGGAATTTGTATTTATATTAGGATATTAGGGTAAGTGTTGTTACGAACTGCAGTTTTCCCAGTGGCAGTGCCGCTAGCTGATTCGGGCTCTCACGGCCGGTTTCCCCCAATTCCGCAGGTCGCAATACAGAAATCGATAGCTATCGTACTCAGATCGCGGAAAACCGTACGCCAGTCATGAGAGAGAGCGAGAGGCAAACAGCTGGAGTTCACTTTTCGTCGGGCCTTATTTGTTTCACGTCGGTACTCAGATCGACGAAAAAATACCAGAATAACATAGCGTTGCCAGTCTGCTGAAATAAGCTTTGGGTGAACCTTAGTGAAAAGAATAAAAAAAAATTGATATTTTCTCACTGAACATTTGAAAAAATTGAGGGAAAAAATAAAAAACCCGCAAAAGTCGATTGCATGTGAGGACAAAATAACATCTGGGGTGCCTCTTGTCTTGAGCAAAATGTTTCTTAGGTCAAAAATTTACGAAAAGACACAATAAAAGTGCAGGTATGAACTTAAAATTAGCAAATAATTATCAGTAAATTAAAAAAAAACAGCCGCAGACTTGTCTTGCCAAGGTAGTTGATAATACCTTTTAAAGGCTCTTTCCCGCAAATACGATATTTGAATTTTAACTGCTTGTCAACAAACCCAGCTGATTGACGTCGTACTGTCAGTAGCACGCTTAATTCTGATGAGCTCTCGAAATTTTGGTCACACTGGAAAGATTAAAGTTTTTACTCTAGCGTACTCGTTGTCGATCTGAGTACTAGGCTTACCTAACGTTTTTCTCTAAAACGATGGGCCCATTTCCGCTATAATATAAATAATGTATATTACATAGACATTTTAACATTATGTTTCTCTTTACATGTTCTGTGCAAACATGCCACCTGTGCCGGGAGTGCGCTAGCTACCAGGTCGCTTGGCTGGTGTTATGGACAACCCCTTTACATCCTACTAACCCTACTGCAGCTCCAAATTACCAAGATTTGCTTTCCTTTTCTTGGCTAATGTTCAGTTTTGAATACCCTGTGTGCGCTAGGACCGTACTCAAGGGGAACAGAAATGCGCGGAATTACAAAATAATCAGGTGATATGTGTAAATTACAATTTAGTATATGAAATTTTCTCTCTTTGTTTTGGCGGCGAAGGCTGCTTTGCGCGCGGTCTCTTCAGGAGGCGCTGGGTTCCAAAATGGACCTAATGTGGATGGCTCTGCTTGGGTCTCTGAAAGGCCGAGCCATCCACATCAGGCTCGGCCTTTCAGAGACCCAAGCAGAGCCATCCAAAGGCCTCCCAGGAAAATAACAGGGGTGTCCAAAGCACAGGAACGGCTTGGTGCCAATCTTGTTGCCCCCCACGTATACTTTTGTGGAACGGACTCACAGGCGAAGATTGGCGGAGTAGTCCGGAGTGTCGCTCCCAAAGGATATCAGGGGAGGCAAAGCCTTTCCTATTTTCTAGTAGAGATTTTTTTCCTTTTTAAATATGCCGCATTTATTCTGCCACTTCACGTAAGTATGATTAAAGGCCTCTGTTAATAATTCCAAAAACTTCGGGCCGTGTGTTTAATAAACTCAGTGGGTATTTGGTCAATACCGGGCGGTTTTCGATTCGGTATTTGGTCAATACCAGGCGGTTTTCTTGCAAATAAAATATCTTATATCTCTATGTAAGCTGAAATTTGATGATGAAATTTGTCAATTAAAATTGAAATTAAAACTCTACCGGAATTCGGTGTTTACATTCGCGGTGGTGGTCTGGTGTTTATAGCAGCGACTGTGGTGCCCACAGTATCCGGAGTATGTGAAATTATCTGGGTGGGAATCAATTGGAGGCTTAGTTGAAAGAAATTGCTAACTTCGATTCAGTCAGACATATTTGAAACGGAGCTCCTGACTGAAAGTTGCTTAAGTTGGGTAAGTTCCTTAATACTGTACCATTTAACTTGCATTTGCCAATTTGTAATCAGATGATAAGTTTTTATATAACAACTCATTAATAGGTTTCCAGTTCCACAGGTCCCAGCTAGACTAGTTTCCGCAAGGAGGCTTCGTTTATTGTCCGAGCGACACTCCCAAAGGTTTTTGAGTCGTGTACCTTACAGCCTAGTACTCAGATCGACAAACGAGTACGCTAGCGTAAAAACTTTAATCTTTTCAGTGTGACGAAAATTTCGAGAGTTCATCAGAATTAAGCGTGCTACGGTCGAACTGTCAATCAGCTGGGTTTGTTGACAAGCAGCTAAAATTCAAATATCGTATTTGCGGGAAAGGGCCTTCAAAATATATCATCAATTACCTTGTCAAGACAAGTCTGCCGCTGTACAAAGAAATTAAAAAATAATACAATTTAAATTTAACAGTTGTTTTTTTTAATTTACTGATAATTATTTGCTTATTTAAAGTTCATAGCTGCACTTTTATTGTGTTTTTGTACATTTTTGACCTAAGAAACATTTTGCTCTGATAAGAGGCACCCCAGATAGTATTTATGTCATTTTGTCCTCACATGTAAACTCCTGCAATCGACTTTTGTGAGTTTTTTGATTTT